ACAGGGTTTTTGTTACACATTGTATATACATATACTAACATATTTTTTGGTAAAAATGACTGAATATTGTAACCTAAAATATGGATGAATAATCAAAGAATTATAATACGAAAAATTGAAAAGAAAATTGGAGCAAATTTCTCCCAACACGGTGCGTGTTTAAGAGTAAACAATAGCAACAATTTGCGCGACGCGAAGCTTTGAGTTTCTAAGCCCACAGAAGCTGAAAACTTTTTTCATTTATTTTGCATACTAAGTCAATCGGAAGGAAAATTTTAAGATCACTTAACAAAGACCTTGCGAATATTTAAACATTTTAAAAATTGGCAAATTTTTTACAAAGAAGATTATCTTTCTCAAAAAAATGTAAAGACAAGCTTGGCGGTGAATATAACTTTTTTTTATAGGATAAGGGTGCCAAACAAGCACACGGTACACCTGGTGGTATGTACTTGCTGTGTGCCACAGACATCTACAACTATCCTCGATTATGAATTGAAATGCAGATGCTGTCAACTGTGAAGACTAAGATGGAATGCCTCATTTCCAGTAAAAAGGGTCTCCGGTTCTCTACACTCCCCATACAAAAAACAGCGGCATTAAGCTCCTATTTTACGCTGTTAACTGTGAGAGCGTGGTCCTGCCGCCGTCGAGCAGACCCATGCGTGCTACAACTATAATATAGCTGCAGCGTGGCTCTACCTCGTTTAAATATTTATGATTCGAACGTAGTCAAAATATTCTATAAATAGACAGTAAAATGGAAAAAACATATGATCACTGGGTTTATCAAGTAAGACCCCAGCACACAACATCTAACTGCATTCAATAATATAAAATATGGCACAAAAATAAACTAGTCTACTACTACTAACCACTTAAAAACAGTCTCCGGTTCTATACACTCATTATATGAAACATAGAGCGTGGTCTACATAATGATTTCTTATATTTACGCGAACACTATACATTGAATAAAACTATTTTTACGGATTTTATCGCGTTTAATTTACTTATTTTATATTCCCGACGTTTCGGTTGCTTTCCAGCAACCGTGGTCACGGGGGACTGAGGTGATTGACGTCCCGATGTCAAAGTTAACCCGGAGTACCTTCAGCTTTTTAATTATTAATTTTGGTCCGATCTACGCAGAATGAACTAACTGTGTCTTGAAGTCTTACAGTGGTATGCTTGGGTTTAGTTTTAATTTTATGAATTACAGGATCCCAAGCAGGTGGTAGTACCCAGCCTCCCTCTCTATTGAAATTAGGATGTTTTTTAATTTCAATAGCCTCACGTATCATCCTTGGCAGGAATCGATGTTCTTTCGCGAGGACTTGTGGTTTATCAAATCTAATGTAATGACGGGGGCCGTCTAGGATATGATCACAAACTGCAGACTTCCCGGAACGTTGGTGCTTCACGTCAGCTATGTGTTCTTTTACGCGGGTTTTTATTGATCGTTTTGTTTGCCCTATATATGAGAGACCACACTCACAATCAAGCTTGTATACTCCTGCATCTTGTAGAGGAATATTGCACTTGACGGATGGTAAGAATTGATTAATCTTCTTCGGCGGCTTGAAGAATGTTCTAATAGAAGCTCGCTTCAAGATGTAGCCAATCTTGTCTGTGACACCTCTGACATATGGTAGTACAGCAGGCACACGCTCGACTGTGGCCGGCTTCACTCGGTCACTGTGACGTAGGCGCGGAACCCGAAGCTTGTTGTCGTGCAGAACCTGCTTGACGTGCTGAAGCTCGGCGGCCAGGTGTTTGCTGTCACAGATCCTTCGTGCTCTCTGCAACAAAGATTTGCCCACGGTAGCTAACTGTGAAGGGTGATGGTGGGATTCACCGTTTAAGTATCGGTTTGTATGGGTCTTTTTTCTATACACAGTGTGACCTACGGTGTTATTAGGATTTCGAATGACTAACACATCTAGGAAAGCTAAAGAATTATTTGCCTCTAACTCCATAGTAAATTGAATTTTAGAGTTTATGGAATTAAGATGTTCTAAAAATGCAGTTACTTTGTCTGATGGTAAAATTGTGAAAGTATCGTCTACGTACCGCTTGTAGAAATTTGGAGTTACTGGTGCAGTAAGCAGGGCTTTCTCCTCAAAGTCCTCCATGAAAATATCGGCGACAATGGGAGATACCGGTGAGCCCATCGCAACTTTCTAAATTAAAATTAAATTCGAATATACCTACTAAAAAAAACTAAATTCGATAATACCTACGTGTGCCAAACCGCCGAAGTTGTATGGGTTACCAAAAATACACAAACCGAACGCTCCATTACGTCCAATAGTGAGTCAGATCGATTCGCCAACTTACAGATTGGCTCAACACTTAGCAAAAGTACTATCACCACTCAGAGGACATACAAGAGCACACACTAAGGATTCATACCATTTTGTCAGTGAGATAAAAGACCTATGTCTTACTGACAATGAAACTATGGTCAGTTTTGATGTTCAGTCTCTATTTACATGCCTACCTGTTGAAGACTGCATCTCAATTATAACTAGGAAACTAGAGGAAAACAACATGCCAGCAGAATATGCAGTATTACTCAGACATTGCCTTACATCTGGCTACCTATTGTGGAAGGAACAGTTTTACAAGCAAGTAGATGGTGTTGCGATGGGCTCACCGGTATCTCCCATTGTCGCCGATATTTTCATGGAGGACTTTGAGGAGAAAGCCCTGCTTACTGCACCAGTAACTCCAAGTTTCTACAAGCGGTACGTAGACGATACTTTCACAATTTTACCATCAGACAAAGTAACAGCATTTTTAGAACATCTTAATTCCATAAACTCTAAAATTCAATTTACTATGGAGTTAGAGGCAAATAATTCTTTAGCTTTCCTAGATGTGTTAGTCATTCGAAATCCTAATAACACCGTAGGTCACACTGTGTATAGAAAAAAGACCCATACAAACCGATACTTAAACGGTGAATCCCACCATCACCCTTCACAGTTAGCTACCGTGGGCAAATCTTTGTTGCAGAGAGCACGAGGGATCTGTGACAGCAAACACCTGGCCGCCGAGCTTCAGCACGTCAAGCAGGTTCTGCACGACAACAAGCTTCGGGTTCCGCGCCTACGTCACAGTGACCGAGTGAAGCCGGCCACAGTCGAGCGTGTGCCTGCTGTACTACCATATGTCAGAGGTGTCACAGACAAGATTGGCTACATCTTGAAGCGAGCTTCTATTAGAACATTCTTCAAGCCGCCGAAGAAGATTAGTCAATTCTTACCATCCGTCAAGTGCAATATTCCTCTACAAGATGCAGGAGTATACAAGCTTGATTGTGAGTGTGGTCTCTCATATATAGGGCAAACAAAACGATCAATAAAAACCCGCGTAAAAGAACACATAGCTGACGTGAAGCACCAACGTTCCGGGAAGTCTGCAGTTTGTGATCATATCCTAGACGGCCCCCGTCATTACATTAGATTTGATAAACCACAAGTCCTCGCGAAAGAACATCGATTCCTGCCAAGGATGATACGTGAGGCTATTGAAATTAAAAAACATCCTAATTTCAATAGAGAGGGAGGCTGGGTACTACCACCTGCTTGGGATCCTGTAATTCATAAAATTAAAACTAAACCCAAGCATACCACTGTAAGACTTCAAGACACAGTTAGTTCATTCTGCGTAGATCGGACCAAAATTAATAATTAAAAAGCTGAAGGTACTCCGGGTTAACTTTGACATCGGGACGTCAATCACCTCAGTCCCCCGTGACCACGGTTGCTGGAAAGCAACCGAAACGTCGGGAATATAAAATAAGTAAATTAAACGCGATAAAATCCGTAAAAATAGTTTTATTCAATATAGAGCGTGGTCCTTCCCCAGTCGACCCGACACATTCGTGCATTACTACTAAAAAGGAACACGGCTTCTAATCTGGCCACGGGGGAGCAATTGAACACGGCGCGTTCAACAGCGGATTCCGTAACCTCCTATAACACCTACGTTGGGTTCGGGAACAACGTATGTGTACCCCGTGAAGGAGTATCACACAAGAGTGTCGGCGGCTTCCTTTTCTTCAAATAGGTTCAGGCGGGGATTACGGGTCTTCCGAGGTCGTACCGGTCCCAGCGCCTTAATTCTTCAATATGTGCCGCGTTAGCGACACCAGATGAACTGTAGTTATATTTAAAGGTGAAGGATCCCTTGGGAATAAAACAGCAACTATCTTCAAACCGCTCCGTGAGAGAGTAATTACTTTCCCTATCACTTCCCTCTACGCTTTCTTTCTTGATTATATATTATACTGGTAGCTGGTCCCGAACGATTTGTATGTATGGTGGTTCTTCTCCTTGTGGAAGTTTTATATGTGTCGAGGAGACCCTCTTGACATGGGCGGCATCTCAGGAGGACACGACCCCCCGGTCCTGGGTGCTGCGTTTGCAGCTTTTTGTTGGTGTATTGCGCACCTCGCGCCATCAAGTCAAGTGTCGGGACGCTCAATCACCCCCGGCGTCCCCTATGCCGAGCGGTGAGCGTAGAAGTTCACGTGGGAGTGGTCGCTCGTCAGGTGGGCGGGCATGGAGAGGAGCTAAGTTATGAAGATGGGGATGTGGCCCGTTATTTGCGCGGTCAAACAACCGTCTCGCAGAACGGACCACAAATTCTTGGATTGATTCGACCTTGAGGTCGCGTGAGATAACATCGTTCCTAACGAAGCGACCGGCTAAGTTATTCTTAATAATTTATATTGAAGTCGGTTGTACAAAATTTTTAATTTTATATTATTTCATATTCTCTCGATAGTGTGTTTCGTTTTAAAGAGGTAAGTAATAGTTAAGTATTATTGTCGCCAAAAATTAAATTCACACAAAACATATTATACCTAGTCAGGTCATAAATTCTGTCACATGTTTAATATAAAATAATTGACACAAGTTTATTCATTATGTAACCATTTATATACCAAAATGAACTTAACAAAACATAGATTCTTATGACACTAAAGTTTATTCAAAATGACCTCCGTGATTTTGAATACATGCCTTCAATCTGCGCGGCCAGTCGTCTATCGCAGCACGAACGAGGTGCATGTCAATATCGGCGGCTGCCTTAATCAAGGATGTCTTGAGTGACTCCAAATTGGGATGAGGCTTTAAGTACGCCTTTTCCTCCATGTGTTGCCATATCTTGTAATCTAACGGACTCAAATCTGGACTGGAGGAGGGCCAGTCTTCGTGCCGGATGAAGTCGATTTCACGCGCCGCCAGCCAGTCTTGTGTGCTCTTCGCTCTATGAGCTGGCGCCGAATCTTGTTGGAATACCCAGTGCCTGTTATTGAACATGGTATGAGGAACAGGTTCCACAAGGTTCGTCAGGACTGTATTTTGATACACAACTGCATTCGTTTTTACACCTTTCTCACAAAAATGTACCTCTGTTAAGCCCCAATAAGAAACTCCCAACCATACCATGAGCGAGGATGGAAAATGACCTCGTTTGACACGCGGAATACGGTTGCTCGCTTCTTCACTACTGTGTGCGTACACCTTATCATTTTGTTTGTTGTAGCTCTCTTCTACGGTAAAAATTTTTTCATCCGAAAAAAGAATTTCCCGATATTTTTTTCCCGCGTACCGCTTCAACAAAGCGCGGCATCTCTTCAGTCTCAGGTCCATTAGACGAGCATTCAAACGATGTCCTGTTTTTCTTCGATATGCCCGAAACCCTAAGTCTTCATTTAACACCCTTTTCACCGTGGTTCTGCTTAACCCCATCTGAAGGGCCAACAGTTTCTGCTTACGTTTAGGATTTCTTTGAATTCGCGCCTTCACAGCTTTTATCAATGCTGGAGCCCTAACAGACCGAGGGCGACCACTTCTTGACCTGTCATCTACACTAGAGTCTTCATTGTATCGTTTGATGGTACGAGAAACGAATCTTTTGGTTATATTCAAATTTTTCAGTATGTCAAAAATTTGAATTGGCGCGTAACCGCAACGATGCAACGCAATAACTGCAACACGGTCTTCTTTAAGCGTCCACTCCATATTTAAAAATGAGTAAAATTCTAAAAAGTATACAGTTTTATTTTCATGAACAATTCGAAATTCGAATTCTATAAACTTTTTTGTGGCCAGCATTCTAAAAGAAAAGTTTTTACTGTGTGACAATACTTAAGACCTGACTAGGTACAAATAAACACATAATATATTACTCAAATATTATTGTTCAATAAAAAAGAAGTCCTACAGCCTCTCGGTTATCGTTATATCGGGTCCCATTTCCGACATCTTATAAGGAATGTAAAAGATAGGTACGTTATTATGTTCTTTATGTTTCGGTATCGTATTGGAGTACGGTATCGATATTGTATTACACAATGTGATAATGCAGTTCCACCGATGACAGAAAAGTAAAGATGAGTATAATACTTGTTATTGCGAGAAATTTCTGCTTTTCTTTATTTTTTTATAGGATAGGGTGACAAACGACGGCAAAATCCACACGATGGTAAGTGGTTGCTGTGACCCATAGACATCTACATTTATCCTCAATAAAGAATCAAAATGCAGATGCGTCGTAACCCGTGAGTACTAAGATGGAATGCCTCTTTTCCAGTAAAATGGGTCTCCGATTCTCTACACTCACCATACGAAACACACTAGTGTTAAGCTACCATTTTACGCTGGTATTCTGTGAGAGTGTGGTCCTTCCCCGGTCGAGCCGATCCATTGAAACAGAAACAGAAATAGAAACAGAAACTTTTTTATTCAATATAGATTATAAATAATCCTTATTGAAAGTCACTCTTTTGTTTGATTACCACTGGTTCGGAAAAAACTTCTGTCCTGGGAAGAACCAGCAAGAAACCCAGCGGGACTTTTTTTTAAATAACAGCTTACAATCATGATGTTACACAAATTAACAACACAACAAATTAGAAATAGCTTGGTAGCGATCACCTCATTTCCAGGGGTTATTATCATCCATAAATTCCTTAATATTATAACAACCCTTTTTATACAAACTTAGTTTAATAAAGTTTTTGAACTTTGAACAGGCCAAACTTTGTATATTTTCTGGAATTTTGTTGTAAAAGCGTATACATCGCCCCAAGAATGAATTACTGACTCGATGGAGTCGAGTAACTGGTACTACTAGCTTGTGTCTGTTCCTAGTATTTACAGAATGAATATCACTTATTTTTGTAAAACTACTTTTATTTTTGTGTACGTACATTACATTTTCATAAATGTATTGAGAGGCCAAAGTTAATATATTAATTTCCTTAAATTTTTGGCGCAGCGACTCTTTAGGCTTTAAATCATAAATTGCTCTTATGGCCCTCTTCTGCAAAACAAATATAATTTCAGTGTCAGCTGCGTGTCCCCATAGCAAAATACCATACGGCATTATGCTATGGAAGTAGCTGAAGTAAACTAGTCTAGCTGTTTCAACACTGGTTAGACTTCTAATCTTTTTTACAGCATATGCTGCAGAACTAAGTCTGCTTGCTAGTTTTGATATATGGGGGCTCCATTGAAGCTTCGCGTCTAGTGTGATTCCAAGAAAAATGGTGGTATCTACAAGACTCAGTTTCTCCCCATTTAAAATTACATTAGTATTTAATTGTTTGACATTTGGAGTCACGAATTTCATACATTTTGTTTTAGTGCCATTTAAATGCAAATTATTAACATCGAACCATTCGTGCTACAACTATACTACTAATAACTATACTTATATTATCTACATCGTGCAAGCTATCTCGACATAAGATTTGCGCTAACTCTATGGCTGTTACAAAGCTTTTTGACTAATATTATTTAACATTCACGGAACTCCAAGGACAGTAATACGTTAAAAGTAAAAAGTAAAGTTGCAGCATATTTACGTACTACTGCTGGGCACAGGCCTCCTCTCATTTCTGAGAGTGTTTTAGGGCAAGGAAATGTCCGCCGCGCTGTCCCGATGCGTGTTGGCGAACTTCACATGTCTTCCAAATATTTTTTTTCTTATTTCTCAGACATGCAGGTTTTCTCACGATGTTTTCTTTCACTGCCGAGCACGTGGTAAATCAGCACTTAAAATTGCAATTAACAATTTCATTGGTGCCGGCGGGAATCGAACCCGGGTTGCTCGAGGACTGTGAAGCTTACAGCGAGCGATAATTATCTAAACTACCACGGCTTCTGTAATACGTTAAGCTGAAATTTATGTTCTTACATCATGTATGTATGTATATCTGTTTTTATGTCCACACTTAGATCCAAAATCTCAAGCCATTTGTCATAATTTTACGGATAACATAGAATATAAAAGTAGTCATTCAAAGTAACTGTGGATACAAACTAACAAAAACTGGAGTACCTACGTTTAATGAATAAACAAAACAATAATTTAGTTTATAACCTCTCGCTCTCTCCCTTCCGACCAGATCATAGTAGTGCAAGGATTGCCATTTGGCAGTAAAAATATGTAAGAGGGGTGGTACCACCTATCTAACCGGACTTCTGACAAGAAAAGGAGTACCATCACCTAGTAGCAAAGACTTCCTGCGGTACCTAGTGTATATGAAGCTTCAAAAAATCGGTTGTAATATAAATTAGCGGCCATTACTTTTCAGTGCTGACGACAAACTCATAGACCTTGTGAACTCCCAAATATTTCTCAACTTTATCAACCAGGAATGTGCAGCAGCATCTTTCTGATAACAACTGAATAAAAATAAAAAAGTGCGGTTGGTAAACCGCTTGCCAAGCATGCAGTTATGGCTAAACCCCCCTTATAAGGAAATCTATGAGGGAGTCCTACGTTCAGCAATGGATTTTTAATAGGATTTAATGGCTCTTGCCCTTTTATAAGAGCTAAATCGTATTCTTAACCCATGCGAGTTTTGATAGTTACTGACCAAGTAACTATTATACGATATGTGTACGAAATACTTTACCCCACTCAACGCACACAAAGACACCAACGCGGGTTTAAGACGTTGCTGTCATGCACATAAGCCCGTTAATTCTGACTTATGTTTATAAATTATGTAAACGTAACCACAACGCATTGTGGTATCTAGACAGTCATTGATTGATATAAGCATAGATTACTAAAATATATGTACTAGGATCTAAGTTACAAGTGTATAAGGACATTAACAAAGCAGAAAGAAAAAATAGGTCATCAAATTTTACTTATTTTTGCTTTGTTGTTCGCTTTGTTGAGACAGCCTCGTAGTACTGATATTCCAAATTTAGGGCGGCCGCCACTAGATGGAGTGAAAACCTGGTAAGGCATTTAGGAATTCGATGAATGTAGGTGGCTCGTGTTTCGAGGTATTCCTTAGGCTAGTTCAGGAGTGAACTTAAGAAGTGTTGTAATGATAATTGTTGATGCTATCACTTATTCAAAAAATTTCAAAATTGGTGTTGGTGCGTATTGGCATTCAGTTCTAGTATTACTCGAGTCATTTTTAATACTATAATGAAAAGTCTAGATCGATCCATAAACAGAATTATAAATATATATATAAAACCTCTAGGGGCATATAAAGTAGATTTACATTCAAAAATAAATTAACAAACATTAATTAAAATATTTTTATTTATTTATTTATTTTTTATTGTGTTACACCTTAATCTAAGAATTACAATGGGCGGACTTAATGTCTTATGGCATTCTCTACCAGTCAACCCTGAGGGAAATAAAAAAATATGATGATAATATGAGAAAAAAATATGTTACATTTACGAATAAAAGCCAACATAGTACAATTACGAATAAAAAACCAAATAAAACTTACAGCCTAAGTACGTCCCACTGCTGAGGTTCCTCTCATTTCTAAGATTATAGTAGCCGAACAATTAATCCGCCGCACTGTTTCAATATATGTTAGCGGATTTTACATGATCTCAAAATATTTTGTTCCACAAACCCTCTGTTTCCCCCCTCCCGGAAGGGTTCCCTCCTTGTACCGTGGCTTGGTCACCTACGGTAGGTGAAGGGCCGGCCCAAGGTGGCCACTGCGGGTGGGCTTAGTGATCCCACTTCAAATGTGAATTGGTGGACTGCGGCTCATTTCGAAATGGTAGTACATAATATGATAGGTTCAAAAAATTAAAATTTGAAAATCGAAATAAATTTTTAACGTCGAAGAAATGAAAAAAGTTATTTCATTTTATTTTATTACATTTTATTTCATATTTAATTCCCGCTGTGTTTCTTGTTGGTCCTGGACAAAGGCTTTTTACGGAACCAGTGGTAAATGATTTGATTGTAATGTTTATTGAATAAAAATTATTTTTCCTATTCTTCATCTGGCGTAAATGGAATTGTAATTAGTAGA